TTTTATCCATTATACTCATCCAAATTTACTCATTATAACTTTGTACTCTTAAGCCTTTTTATGTAGCAATATTTAGTCTTGCTTGGTTCATCTCAGGCGGCTAGACAATGTTTACATTTTTACACTTAAATAAATATTGCTCATTTTTGATAATATAAAATAATATTGCAATAAAAGTAGCATATATGCAAACATTGTTCTTTTGTGATTCTCCTGTGATTACTGCCTTTTTGACTCAGATTTCTTATAAAGCTATTTACTTTTCTCTTTATCTTTTATACCGTATATTTGTGTGTCTAACATTTTGGATGTAACCATTATCTATTATCTTATTTTACTACTCATAAGTATTCTTACTTAAAGGATCACCTTTTTCTTTCTGCTAATTTTAATGTTTTGTTTATTCCCCAAATGTCTTTCCATTATTCCCAAATTGGTTGCCATTCTTTTTCGACTTTTTGAGTTGATTTGTCATTTATTAAATTTGTTAGTCTGTCCCTTTCCCTCATTTCATGATTTTTTGTAGCCATTCTTCCATGAGAGGGTGATCCTTTACCTTCTATTTTTTTTTTAGCAAGCATTAATCTGGCGGCTGTTACAGTAGTATTCTCCAATATTTAGGAGAAGTGACCATACCATGGGGTTTTCTGAGGCTGAGAGAGTGTGTCTTGCCTAAGGTCACCCAGTGAGTTTCCATGGCTAAGCAGGGATTTTAACCCTAGTCTCCAAATCACTATGCTATGTTGGCTCCTTAGATAACATGGTAGCTTTCCTTTAAATATTTGATTGGATGTCATGTAGAAGATGAATGGAGCTGCTCCAAAGAACAGAACATGAACCAATGGATTCTAATGACAAGAAAAGAGATTCCTTCTAAACGTTAAGAAGAACTTCTTGATTGTTAAGAGCTTTTCGACAGTGGAATGGACTGCCTCAGAGGGTGGTGGCCCCTCCATCATTGGAGTTTTTTAAACAGAGGTTGTATGAGTGTCTTTCAGGATTGCTGTAGTCATATATACCTAATGCCAGGAGGTCGGATTAGATGATCCTTGTTGCCCCTTTCAACACCAGGATTCTATGAATGTATAATTTGAGAGCCAGTGTGCTGTAATGATTTGAGGGTTGAACTACGGACGTTTTCACACAGGCGGCTCTAAAGCCGGCTGGAAGCCATCAGGAGTCATTCCGGCGGCGAAAACAGCAGCCGCCGGAATGACTCCTGATTGCCTCCGGCAGAAGCGCCTGTAATTCCTCTTTTAAAAAGGAATTACAAAAATGGGGCTAAAGCCGGCTAGCGGCAGGGATGGCGCAGGGATTGCGCAAGATGGGGCGGGGCTTGCTGCGACGTCGTGTGAACACTCGCAGCAAGACCCCGGAGTGAGGCAGGGATGGCGCAGGGATGGCGCAGGATGGGGCGGGGCTTGCTGCGACGTCGTGTGAACTTATCCTGCACAGAGCCGGAGTGGGGCCGGATGGAGGTAGGAATGACTCCGTCTAAAGCCCCGTGTGAAAACGTCCTACAACTCTGCAGACCAGGGTTCAATTCCCACCTCCACCATGGAAACCCACTGTTTCCATGGACAAGTCCTTGGACAAGTCACACACTCTCATCCTCAGGGGAAGGCAATGGCCTTAGGGTCACCTTAGCGATGCCATAGGTCAGAAATGACTTGAAGGTATACAACAACAACAAACAATAATTTGAGTGTTGCTTCTTTTAAAAACAATTTTGAGCCACGGTGGCCAGGAAATTCGGAGAGTGGCCATCCCCCCAAAAGAGGGAAACTATCCAGGCATTGGGCCTAGCTCAGCGCTGAAGATTCTTCGCCTGCCTCTTGGTTTTT